AAAAAAAAAAAATTCAAACAAAAGAAATAAAAATTAAGAATTTATAATAAATAAAATTTATTTATTTATTTGTTGCGAGACAGAGTCTCACTCTGTCACCCTCTGTAGAGTGCTGTGACGTCACAGCTCATAGCAACCTCAAACTCTTGGGCTCAAGCGATTCTCCTGCCTCAGCCTCCCAAGTGCTGGGGCTATAGGCACCCACTACAACACTTGGCTGTTCTGGGGGGTTGCAGTTGTCACCGTTTAGCAGGCCCGGGCCAGGCTCTAACCCACCAACCTCGGTGTATGTGGCCGGTGCCCTACTCACTGAGCTATGGGTGCAGAGCCAATAAAAAGTTTTTTAAAAAGCAAAGTAAACAAATATTCAGAAGTAGAGAAGGGTGTTTATCCTGCACTGCCCAAGAGGAAAGACATGAGATTCTCAATTCAAAAGAGGATTTCCTTTGTTATGTGGTAGTTACCTTTTATCAGACTCATGCTGGCATGGATAAACTATGCCCCAGAAAGACTTACCTCCCTTTATTCTAGGTCCTTACTCACTGAGAAACCTGCCTACTTATTCTGCTTTCCAGAGAGAGGACTGCCCTGAACTATGATTCCAAATATTTTCATGACAGCAATGGAGTAGCCATTATTATAAAATAACAAACAAACATTCAGGTTTAAATATATGTTTCTGGTGAATTTGATTAGTGTGAGTCGGATCTCTCACCACTAGGTACAATAACAAAGCCAAGTTTCTTTACATACAAGACTGAGAACAGACCCTGGTTATCGATGACTATTCTAAATATAGGCAGTACCACAATCTGAAACTTTCGTTCAGTGTTCAGCCAGCTGCTCTGTCACTGTTGATATCCTAAAATTGTAACAAAGATGTTACAGACTTTTAGAAAGAAATCACAGAAAAGGGGAACGAGAGATGTGTGCTAAATGTCTATTACCTAACAGCTTTGAGGAAACAATGAGGGAGAAGAGAGAGAAAGAGAGGAAGAGAAGGAGAGGGACAGCGAGAGGGAGAGCATGTTACACTACCCTGAGGAACAATAGTGATACTCTCATTCTCAAAATAGAAGCGACCCCTTGGAAGAAATTTCTGGGCCCTGTTGAAACTGTGCAGAGAAATCCTAGCAATACACTGAGATTATGAAGGGAAAGAAGCTGCTAACATGTCTGAAAACAACAAAGATGCTAAGTCGCAAGGCATAAGAGGCAGCCTTCCAGACATGCACACGGAGTGGAGCACAGGTGTGAGCTGTGTGAAGAGTCCCACAGCTAACAGCCATGTGAGAACAAAGTACAAAGGTACCCAAACTTGCCAGATGTTGGAAGGCCATGGCTTCTTAAAATACCTTCCAGCTGTTTGATACGGTTGTTCTTGAGATCTAGGAGTTGATTCAACCTATCCAGTTTTTCTTGGCGATCACTTTTCTCATTATCGGCTTTCGTCATCATCGCCTCCAGTTCCTCCTGAAACAAAATAATGTTTGGACTTTTCTCTCTCAGTGGCCTAGAACCAGAGTCCAGATAAAAAAGGGAGCCCCTTTTTTGGGTAAAGAAGACCCTGCTATCTCCTTAGGGCAGGTTCATCGGCTAGAGAAAGTTTGGTTTCCTCACAGATGCCTCTAGGACTAGCTGTGTTATCTGTGCTATCCAGTAGTCTTTTCCTAGGAACTGGCAAAATTTAAACCCAGAAGCTAATGAAAACACTTGCCATTTTCATTAGCTGGCCTTTCACTGGCTTCTAGTGCCAAGGCGCCACGGGCATGTGTGTGTCCTCAAGTTCTTCAAAAGACAACATATTCTGTGTTTGCACAGAATAGCAAACCACCTGGCATCAACCCTGGGAACTCTGGTCTTGCTTCATTTCCTGTCTCCGGAGTGGTTCCCAGGTGTCTGTCTATCTAGCCACTTCCTATACCGTTTTTTCTTCACCTGATAACACACGTTGATTTTGCGCTGCAGAATGAGCATGTCTCTGGTCTTTTCTAGCTCCAATGTGGTCTCTGCATGGGTTACTTGCAACTCACTTAACATCCGGGACAGTTTGTTTTCTTCTTGGTTTTTTGGTTCACTGGGCTGTAGAGGGAGAAACATCAGTAGAGGGAGTATAAATATGATAGGCACAGTAATAACTATTCTCCATAAAGCAGTCGTTGGCATTAGTAAAATGCCAAAGAGTAAAAGAGGACCTGTGTTACTTCACAAATGCTTTCTTCCCTAGTCCTCATGCCCAGAAGTAACAGTAAAGGGAGGTTTTACAGCCTCTTAATGTCTGGGGGTTTTTTTGTTGCTATCTGTTTGTTTTGTTTTATTGAGACAGAGTCTCACTATGTCTGTTTTCTTTTCAGCAGACCATTGCAAATCCTCATCTGGAGAAGATTCTGAATTTTTTTTTTTTTTGGCCGGGGCTGGATTTGAACCTTCCACCTCTGGCATATGGGGCCGGCGCCCTACCCTTTTGAGCCACAGGCACCGCCCAAGATTCTGAATTTTGTGAGCTGTAAAGAGTGGGAAAAAATGGGTAGAGCTCATGAAGCTTTCTCTACTCTCGGCCTTCTCATATCTTTTCAAATATTATCCTCAGTCCTGACAAAATATTACTCAGTGAGTTTTCTAATCTCTTCATCTGTCCTATAGATATTTGCCAGAGAACCCTCTGGGGAGCAGACAAGTTTGTTTAAAGAGGCTCTTACCTCTGAGTGAGTGGCTGGTTCAGATTGCACGTCTGGAAATTGGGAAATTGCGGATGCTTTTTGGAGGAGCTCTATTTCCTGTTTATGCTTCTGAAGCATGTTGGTGATTTCAAGCTTCAGGTCCTTGTTTTGGGCTGGAGAAAAAATAATCCAGAAAATTGAAACTCTGTAGTCATTAATAACCATGGTCAGACTTGGAACAAATGTGAATTAAAATTTTCCTACTCATGTTTAATTTATTTTACAAATTTGCCCTTGGAGAAGTGATTCTCTCTTATTTCTACAAAGGACCTCTAGCTTATTGACCTAATAAAGTGAGGTGATACTTGCTCTCCAAGAACAAAACAAACACCTGTAGAAAAGTAGCATGGAAGGGAGAACACCGCCACCAACACAAAAACGGAAAGACAAAAACACATAACTGACTAGCGCACTTCAAACTTTTTTTTTTTTTTGAGACAGAGCCTCAAGCTATCCCCCTGGGTAGAGTGCTATGGCACCACAGCTCACAGCAACCTCCAACTCCTGGGCTCAAGCGAGTC